CAGCACCCGGCACCCGTGCAGCGCCCGCGCAGCACCCAGCACCCGTGCAGCACCCACACAGCACCCACCCAGCACCCGGCACCCGTGCAGCACCCACACAGCACCCAGCGCCTGTGCAGCACCCGTGCAGCACCCACACAGCACCCGGCACCCGCGCAGCACCCACACAGCACCCAGCACCCGTGCAGCACCCGTGCAGCACCCACACAGCACCCACACAGCACCCGGCACCCGTGCAGCACCCACACGGCACCCAGCACCCGTGCAGTGCCCGTGCAGCACCCACACAGCACCCGGCACCCGTGCAGCACCCACACAGCACCCAGCACCCGTGCAGCACCCATGCAGCACCCACACGGCACCCAGCACCCGTGCAGCACCCACACAGCACCCGGCACCTGCTCAGCACCCACACAGCACCCGGCACCCGTGCAGCACCAACGCAGCTGCTAGTGCCCATGTAGCGCCCAGCGTCCACGCAGCACCCAGCGCCCACACCTGCCACCCACACGTAGCCCACTCAGCACCCATGCAGCGCCTGTGCAGCGCCTGCGCAGCATCCAATGCCTGCCCAGCACGCCCACAGCACCGGTGCAGTGCCCACCCAGTGCCCACCCAGTGCCCAGCACCTGTGCTGCAACCACACCGTGCCTGCACAGCACCCATGCAGCTCCCAGCACCCTCACAACACCCCTGCCGTGCCCATGCAGCTCCCAGCACCCGCATGGCACCTGTGAATCAGCCAATACCAACCCAGCGCCCATCAGCACCCAATACCCACCTAGTGCATACAAAACATCCAGCACCCACCCAGCACCCACGCAGCACCCATATAGCTCTCAGCACTCACCCAGCACCCGTGCAGCACCCAGCACAGCACTTCCCTTGAACCCAGCACCCACAATGGCAGCTCTCCAGCACCCAGCACAGTGGCACCCAACCTCCCAGCATGGCAGCTCCGTGGCTCCCGGCTCGGCAGGTTCCCTTGCGCTCCGTGCCCCACACAGCAGCCCCCAGCCCCACTGTCTGCGTTGCCCCTGGCCCCATTGCCCACAGCCCCGTGTGCCCCTGGCCTGCAGCCCTGTTGCCCGCAGCTCGTTGCCCTGGCCCCGTTGCCCGCAGCTCATTGTCCCCAGCCCTGTTACCCTCAGCCCTGTTGCCTGCAGCACCATTGCCCAGAATCCTGCAGCCCCGCTGCCTGCAGTTCTGCAGCCCTGCAGCCCCGCTGCCCGCAGCCCTGCAGCCCCGCTGCCCGCAGTTCTGCAGCTCCATTGCCTGTAACCCCATTGCCCGCAGCCCCATTGCCCGCAGTCCCATTGCCTGCAGCCCTGCAGCCCCGCTGCCCGCAGTTCTGCAGCTCCATTGCCTGTAACCCCATTGCCTGCAGCCCCATTGCCCGCAGCCCCATTGCCTGCAGCCCTGCAGCCCTGCTGCCTGCA